TAATCTACATTTCTCAAATTATCAGTGATGTTGAACATTTTTTTCATGTATTTATTTTCTATTTGCATTATTTTGTCTGAGAAGTGTCTATTCACTTCAGATGCCTGCTTTTAGACTGAGTCTTGTAGAAGAATTTTTTATCTTTTTTGAGTTCTTCATTTATTCCAAATATTAAACATTTGTCTGAGGAATAGCCAGTAATTTTTTTCCTTTTCTAAGGGTTGTCACTTCACTTTGTGAGGGTGTCTTTTTGGTGTGCAAAATCTTTTCAATTTGCATAATACCAATTGTTGATTCTTTGTAATAGTTCGTATGTAACTGGGGTTTTGTTCAATTTTTCCTACACATATATCTTCAAGCATTTTATCTATTCTGTCTTCTAGCAGACAAAATCGCTCTGGCTTAATATTTAGATCTTCGATCCATTTTGACTTTAGTTTACTGCATGGTTAGAATATGGGTCTAGGTTTGATCTTTGCCACATGGAAAGCCAGTTTCCCCAGCACCATTTATTAAAGAGATGATCTTTTTTCAGAGAAGGTGTTTGGTCCTTTTGTCAAAAATAGTTATCTGAGGGTGTTTGGAGTTGTTTATGCATCTTTTCTTCTGTTTCACTGATCCAGAAGTCTGTTTGTTTGCCAGTAACATTGCCAAACTTATCATGGCAGCTTTGTGGTACTACAACTTTAACTTGAGGATTTTGATACTCCCTGCATTACCCTGTTGCCCAGAATTCTTTTACTATTCCACATCTCTTCTGACTCCATACGAATTTTAGAATTATTTTCTCTAATTCCATTAGGAATGCTCTTGGTATTTTAATTGGGATTTTATTACATCTGCACATCAATTCTGGAAGTATGGCCATTTTCACTCTGTTGGTTTTGCCTGTCCAAGAACAGGAAATGTCTTTCTGATATCCTCTTCAATCTCCTTTTTCAGAATACTGCAGTGTTTAATTCATAAGTCTTTCACTTTCTTCTTTAGAATGATTTTTCCTAAGTGTTTCATTTTCCTTGATTCTATTGTTTTCTTACTTTTTCTCATAGTGAAGATTTTTGTGTACAGAAATGCTACCAATTTTTGAATTTAGACTTTGTATCCTGTTGTTACTGAAATTTGGTTACTAATTCTCAGAATCTTTTAATGGAATTTTGAAGTCTTCTATGTAAAGTATTCCTTATGATGACATTATGTCATCATCAAATAATGATAATTTAACTCCTTGTTTTCCCATCCACATTCCTTTTATTTTTTGTCCTTGTCAAATCACTCTGGCTAATGTTTACCGCACTGAACAAAAGTAATGATGGCAGACATCTATCTTGCTCCTGCTTTAAAGCATGAAAGCTTTCAGGGTTTGACCGCTTAGTATGATGTTGGCTGTTGGTTTGTCATAGACTCCTTTTATCAGATTAAGATAAACTTCTATTCCATTTTTTTAGTGTTTTTATCATAAGTGAGTGTTTTTGGCAAATATCTTTTCTGTATATTGAGATGATCGTGTGTTTCCCCCCCTTTGGTCATGTTAAAATTTGCTGTATTACATTTATTGATTTGTGTATGTTGAACCATCATTGCATCCCTGGGATGAATCCTACCTGATCATGGTATAAATGTAGAGATTTGCTGCATTCTGTTTGCCAGTATCCTACTGAGAATTTTTTGCATCTATGTTAATTAAAGAAATTTGCCTATAATTCTCTTCTATGGTTAGATTCTTCTCTGGCTTTGGTTTTAGGGTAATGCTTGCTTCCAGCAATGACTTTGACAGTTCTGATTATCATTCAATGTTATAAGTTTCAGAATTAGTAGCATTAGTTCATCTCTAGAGGTCTTCAGAAACAAAATTGTGAATCTATCAGCCGTTGAGTTTTTCTTCATTAGTAGGTTTCTTGTTTTATTAGTTCTTCAATTTCATTGACAGATATTGGATTATTTAAAATTTTTATATCTTCTTACCAGTTTTGGTAATTCACATGTTTCTAGGAATTTCTTCCAAATTATCAACTTTATTAAAGCATTGGATCTCAAATTAACTACTTATAATCAGGATTTCTTCAGGATCTGTTGTAATTTTGCTCTTTTCATACCTACTTGGTTGGATTTGGGTCTTTCTTTGTTTAGCTGAGTTGAGTAATGGTTCGTCTGTTTTATTTAATCTTTGAATGAATCACTTTTTTGATTCTGTGTCTTGTTTCTTAGTCTAAATTGTATTAATGTTTGCTCTCATCTTTATACTTTCTTACATCAACTTTGAAAGATAATCTTTCAGGGTACATAAGTCTGGGTTGGAGGGTCCTTTCTTTTACCTCTCAAAATACTTCAAGCTCTTCTTGACTTAAAGTAGTATAATCAATAGCAATAATAACATCAAACACAAACTAGATAATGACAAATTGCTCTAACTAATATTTTGCCACTTTTACCCTTGGTACAAGATTTATAGTTGCATAACAAAATACATAGGTATTTTACCCCCTTTCACTGTAGAGCATTATTTGCCCATCATTGGAAGTACATAAATACTTACAGATTTTTTGTACCCACTTGTGGTGCTGGTGATTGAATTTGGTAGACCTTGTGCGTACAAAGTAAGAGCTCTACTACTGAGCCACTTCCTCAGCCTACTATGTACATATTCCTATCTATACTATTTGTCTTTAATGTATTAATGCACATGTTGAAAAATTTCTAAATCAATTTTTTTCTATTTTTCTTCTTCAGTGCCTAAAAGATTAAGACTGAAAACAGTTTTTAGTTTTATCTATTTTTTACAAGTGCAATTTAATGATAAAATTATGTCTGAATGATTTTTAATTTATTAGTATATATTTACAATATGCAATAAATATAATAATCTTGGAGAATTGGCATATATAGATATCACATGCACAATCATTTTTAATGTAACACATTTATTCTCCTTGTCAAATTACTCTGGCTAATGAATAGTAGTATATATAAATAACTGAAATTTACTTTCAACAATTAGTTCCTACTTGTGTAATTTTTGCCAGAAAACAAGACGCAATCATGCAAATTTTTCTTGTAAAACACATTATTTAAATTTAACAACAGTTTACTTTAAAAATTATATGAATAATTACATGTATAATATACCAAAGCTACCATTGGTATAAATAAAAATGAAGTTCAAAAAGCTCTTTGATAACAGTTTTTGTGATAAAATAATATTTCTTTTTCTTCTAAGACTTATTTATGTTTTTAAAGAAGTACTTTGAAAGCCATACATTATATATAAAAGTTTATATTTTAAAAAGCAATTTTTAAAGCAATACATTACACATAAAAGCAAAATACGACTTCTATTCCTTTTTAAGAACACACTCTGATAAATGCAGTGGAAGGTTTCAATCTATAAGCATTGATCAACAATATTTTAAATGGCTTTAACAGAAAGTTTTCCTTTTAGAAAGTTAGCAAAAAATAAATCTAATAAAAACTTTTCTTTTTTATACTTTAAAAAGTTGGTAAAACTAGGTTTAACAACAATAAAAATATACTGAACAAAATTCTTAAAGATACCAAGAAATTTTTATTGTGTAGCTAGAAACAACAGTTTACGTTACCCTAAGAATTAAGTTAAAAACATCCTAGAGCCAATATATTAAGAATAATTTATATCACATTGCAAACATTCAAACATTACTTTCATCATTTCATGATTAAATTACAAAAGTAATAACTAAACCATCTAACTATTTAGGAAACTTATGACCACAAATTTTTCCGAAAGCACTCCATTCCCTCATAAATGTTCAGATTATGTTTATGTTACAAAGAGAATGTCTATCATTTTCCTAATGAAGAATCAGAAAGGGATAAAATGGAAAAACAGATACTTATGAAGAAATACATTCTGAGACTGATTCTTATGCTGACGAGCTGTGGACTGAAAGGGGAAATATAAATCAAAGAAGTCTCCGAATCTGAAGTTCAGTTTACAAGGATTTATGGTAATACAAAAGAAGGAAATTGAAAGCTTCATCTTTATTTTGTCTTTTGGCTAGAGTTAAGTAGCAGAAATTGATTTTTTATTGGAGATTACAGTGCTCTCCTAAAGGAGAGTGAGAACAGATTTTATGATCTTTTAACTGACAGTTAATAGCCAAGGAGCTTTGGCCAGTGATATATTACAGCCCTATGACTGGAGATTAGAAAAACATTCAAGAAAGAAATTATCACTTTGTGTTTATCTCTTTAACTCCAGGATTTTTGCACCCCTTTCTAACTTTTTCCTAGCAGTTAAAAGACATTTTAAAATCTGACTTCTGAAGTGACTATAAAGAGGATGAGAATGATTAAATTTGTTGTTTTCTCTGTAGTTTTGGTGCAAAAATTTAAAATGTTGAGACTTAGGCTGAAACCTAATACTTTATCATTCACCATTTCAACAAATCTTTCAACACAATCCATCATCTGAAATTATTGACTAACTTTGGACCATCTTAATGTCATGTTTTTTCCATTTGCCTAATTTGGAAAACTGGTTTCAGCAATTCTAGCATTTTCTAGTTTTATCTTTTTTACTTTTTACTGCTTTTTCTTCTATAGGAAAAAAGCAAACTTAACATGACTTTTATAATGTGAGGTTCTGCTAAGCTGTCATCTTCCTCCATCTACATTTGGTAGCACAATCTTTATTCTCAACACTCTCTGAGTTTATGTCACATCACTCATAATATCTTCCAGATGCCCGCTGTTACCATGGCAATCAATGAATTCTGGAGAACAGAGTTTTATAACTTTTGTGTCTCTGTCATTAAGGTCCAGTAAGAAAGCTTATCATTAATGTGTTTTTTAATAAATGAGATGTGGGTGTGGAAATCATAGTCAAACAAGAGGTAGATGCCTACAAAAGAACTGAGTAAAAACCGTCTTTAATGCTGATGATTAAATAACCTATTCAAATTGAAACTGAGCCTTTTCTTCAGTTCCTTGGTTTGTTTTCCATGAATTAACCATACACAATAAAGTTTTCCAGGGTTTCCTGACAGATCAATCACCAAAGTATCCTCTGGAAAATACAACACAAGAGGACGAGTCCCATGTTCAAAGCCTGCCATTCACATTGGAACCAACCTCCACAGGTGTGTAAGGAAAAAGTCAGATCAGAGACGGACAAGGGTCTTCTCAGTTGCCTCATCCTCCACTTCTTCTCAATTTGGGTTTTCTTATAGCAACTAATCAAATCCAGCTTTTGTTCTTATACAACTGAAACAGTGTCAGAAATCTGGAAGATGAGTTTTCTCTGTGTATGATATTATATTATTTTGCATCACAATTGCTCAAATTAACATTGTTATCAAAATCATCTTCAAAGATCCCTTATCATATTCTCTGTCTTTTATCATTTACTATACATACTTAGTTTAAGAACTAATTTGAGGTATGCTTGGAAACTATAGCTAAAATACACTTAGAAACTAGCTGTGGTTTTGAAAAATACGAAGAATCTCTTCCCAGTGGAACGTCTTTCCTATAAAGGTTGTGAGTGACAATAACAATATTTTCAAAAAAGCATTTCCTAGAAAATGTGGACAGTACTGCACATAAACTTGGAGAGACATAAGTAATGTGATGTCATCCCTAGGCCAGGGTTCTTTCCAAAGGTAAAAATAGAACACATTCATCTCTAAAACTGTAATGATTTTAGAAGAACTAGAAAATGTCTTGCTATTTCCCAGGCCATCATATTCCTCTCAGGATTCACCATGAATGGTCTCTGAGGAAAGTTTTTTTGTTTTCAAGGAGGAGAAAATATTGGATTTAAGGATAAATGGTCATGTTGTGGACAGAGCTGTTATTATTTCTCAACGACAATAAAGAACTTTGAAGACAGTAGGAAACTCTGCAAAGAAATGGATTCCACACTACTCAAGATAGATGACGCACAGGAACTGGTGACGTATATATTTTGTATTTCACACCATATTAGTTTTACATTACATTATTGATAAGCTCTTTATTTCCTTATAACCTTCAAGTGAAAAGACACACATCTAATGGAGTCCAGTTGAAAGTTAGAAATACAAACAGAAATAATATAAGAACTTAGTAAGTTCATCTCATTCATCCACAAGTACCATTTCTATAGTATACTTTACATAAATCAAACATTAAGTCATCAGCAAAAGTTATCCTTAAAATAGATCATGTTCTGTCCATTAAAGTTGTACAAAGCCCTTCATGATTGCATGAGTGTGATGATTGGATTTTCATGCCACATACAAGAGATGTGGCTCCCACTAACTTTGTTACCATGTTGCACATTTCCCATCTAATATCAAGAAAAACAAAGAAAGTAATTTGTATAAAAGGTGATCAAAATACGTATCAAATGTTGAAATTGAAATACAGTTACGGGAAAAGACACTTTGCCGTTTTTCATCTTCAAAACACTCGTCTTTGTTTCAAACACAATTATTCCATTATTCTTGTCACTTTCTGAAGCAATTGTGAAGTCCTATTTCATGAATACATTTACAAGGTATGGTCAAAAAGAGGGTGAATTCTGCTGCTGGTGCTCATTGTTCTTCATCGAAAATCAGACATGGGAAAACGTTGTGGAGTGCCCTGGTCCACCTCATTCACTGAGTTTGGCATCATGAAACTTCAGCTTTCCCCCAAAGTCAAAACAAACATAAAAGTTAAACGTTTTTAATTAACAGAGCGCTGAAGCAGCCATGACCACACAACTAAGTACAGGAGAAGGTACTTTAAATGTTTCAGTAAATAGGAAGAAAACAGGGTAAGGGTATTTGAAGTGAGGAGAGTATTACAAGGGAGATTAACAGCAAGGTGCCTTTACTGTAATAATTTTTTTAAATGTTGAAACACTCATCCTGCATTTTGATGACATTCTGTATATCACTTGTTGAGTAGTATATAGAAATTTAGCAACATGCTCTCTATGAAAGGTTTAGACTTGTAACAATCTCAGGAAAAACAGGGTATTACTGAGTCTGAGGTTAAAGGAAAAACTCATGATAAATTTATCATTAAAAATCAATTAATTTTTCTGGTATGTTGGCACTCACCTGTATTCCCAGCACTCAGGAGGCTGAGGAAGGGAGAATTGTGAGTTTGAGATCAGCAGCCTGGGTCACAATGTAACACCAGCTTGAACTACACAGCAAAAGAAAAAAAAAATGATTGATACTACTTAAAGTTAATTTTGATCATATACTATATTACATAGGAAATTGGATATTGTATATTAATATATTTCAATACACTAATAATTCTATACTGATTTGAAATTTTATTAACAAAATATAGAAATAATTTGTAATTATTCTTGCTAAAGAAGAAATATACCCTAATTTTCTGGGTTAAGAGTAATCTATAAATATCCTCTCAGAAATAGGCCAGTGGACACTAAAAATTATTCAGCTCTCTGACCTAGTTCAATTTTCCAGATAGATGGCTTTCAACAATTCAGAAATAGCCTTTTAAAATATTAACAAAAACAAACAAAATTTGACACCAAAAAAAGACATGTATAAAGGCTGAATTAATCTAGAGTCTTCTGGCTTAGAAGATGTAATTGCTACCAATGGCATAAAGATTTCAGACATTTAAAAATAAAATTAAAATCAGTTATGAAATTGTAATGAATTTAAAAGTAGCCATCAAGTGATATGAATAGAAAATTTGTCTTTAACATAAATAACATTTTAATATATAAAAAATCTTATAATATTCTTGCATAAGAATCATAGGATTTATATGGAAGGTAATAAAATTTCAGGAATTATTTATGCAACTCTATGTATGCCACCAGAATTATTACAGAAAGTTACAAAAGAAGTAAAATGTATTAGATTATGGAACACTTTTTTCATGGGAGAGGCTGTGCTTCTATTTATATGTAACCTGTTTGGAGATATAGAATATTAGAAAGCTATCACAGAAGGCTTTGAATTGAATAATTAATAACATGTCTTTGATGTAACAGATGATAGCCTAGAATTCCTAGATACACAGTATGAGAATGACCAACTCTGGACTTCCTAAGTTTTCCTGCAGGATAGCTCTACTGAAAATTAAATCATCAATGAAAATCCATTCGAATTTCAAATGTTGTGTCTCAATGCAAATATGCATTTTGGGAGAACAGATGATTTATGAATTCATCATGTTTTCAAATGATTAGAAAACAAAAAGAAAATGAAATAAAGAACTATGAATAGATATGGAACCATAGTCAAAAAACTTCCTTTAAGTCTTTCACAAAATATCAGTCTCTGAACTTGGAAAAACTGAGGAGTGGGTATGAAACTGGCACAATTTTCTTCCCAACATTTTGTGAAGATCAAATAAAATAATACGTACTTCAAAGCTTTGTAAAGTGTAACATACTGTTGTGTGGTAAATAATGAAGTTTCTCCAATCAATGATAGATGATAATCACAAACAACCGCATGGCCTAGTGGCTCCATAGCAAGCTGAGATTAGGGAGGTACCCTCTATGGTTTCTCCACAATAAAGAAATCCCCTAATGATGCATCACTTAGAACATGCTTCTGTCCCTAAGTGAAACATAGCTGGATGAATATCAGCTTTTTTCATAGTAGTCACTTGATCATTCAGGTAGCCATCTCACTGGATGGGGAAATGATACATTCTAAAATGCCTGTTTCACAGAGAATAAACACAGTATTTTTGTGGAACAAAAATATAAAACAATATTGCTAGAAATTTCATAATTACTATACCTGGGCCCCAAAATCAGACTACACAAAACTCATGATTGAGCCACAACCATAAGTTTTAAGAGGTATTTAAGAGATTTTAGATGAGTTCCAATACATGTGACCAAACCCAAAGCTATTTACTTCTTATTTATGCTTCCACATTTAGTAAAGATTAAAGGAGCTTTCATTATTTTATGTTCTTAAAAGCATCTGAATAAAGCTTTTAACCACCTGATATTCACATTAAGTATAAAATCTTAACAAACTTAGTTATTCATTTCAGGAACATAAATATATTCCTAACTATACATAACATTCTACTTATTACAGAACTTTATTCAAGGGCAAATATCTTATTTCACTTGGATTGGGTTGTCTCGTGAAAGAATCAGTAGACACTGGACATGGGAAGATAACTCAACACCCTTTATCCCAAGGTGAGTTTCTCCAATAGGATAAGAGCTAATAAGTTCTAGAACTGGTTTACAGTCCCAAAGGCATATAGATAAAATATGTACATTGTATATGCACGCACATATATATCTAAAGAAATAGATTGGCACACTCATAAACACACCCCCAAAGGTCATAAACTTGGCTACAGAGGTGAGACCATGAAGGAAAAAAATTACCTTTAATTCTACACCTAAGTTCTGGTAAGGTGATATGGAGGACCATTTGGGCACTGACATTTAGTCTCTATAGCAAACAAAATACATCAACCTAATTTTGGATGTTATCATGTTCTATTATGTCTGCAGTACTGAATATATATTTTACAACATTTACTTCCGTTTATTTCACTTTGAGTGTTTGGAACGATTCACAGACTGGAAACTGTGGAAGACTAGCACCAACAAAGGTGACTGATTATGACTGTTCTAAATTAATATACTATATTTGTGAAAAGAAAAACGTTTGTCTTGCTACTATGGGATGAGAACATCCTCAACAAAATGAACACGATAATTTTTCCTTATAAAAACCCTGACCCATGGAAGCGTATTTTGGGGGTGTCTCTGAATGATTGAGATGATGGAAACATGAGAATGAGGTGCCACAGATTCACAAATTCTGCTCCTTTCACATGAAGATAATCTATTCACACCTTCAAGTGTAAACTGGTGAAGTAAAAGAGCACAGGAATTTCTGACGAGGACTAAAGAACCGTGGTTCTGCACATCTTCTGTCTGCAATTCACACAAACGTAGAGATCTTCTCCAAACTTCCAGAGCGACCATGCCCATCCGGCTGAAATAGTAAATGAAGTCATGATTCTGTATGAAGTGTTATGAATTATCTTATGATACATGATCTCCTAAGACAAAGACAGCATGGTGTACTAAGAAATGGAACTGTATCTTATAAGTGTACATCTCCTGCCTACACCACACCCAGTACTTCTCTCCTAATTGGCAAATGCAATCTTTGACTCTCAATTTCCTCTGAGTAAAAATTTTCCAGACTGTTTTCCAAAGAAGTTGTGCCATTTTGCATTCCTACCGGTGATATAGAAAAGTTCCATATGCTCACATCCTTCTACTATTTAGAATTGTGTGTCGGCAAAACCATTTACTAAGGCCATATGATATTTATAAGTTTAATTTTTATTTCTCTGTGAGTAAAGGATGTAAATATCTTTTCTTGAGTTTTTTATCATTCACACATCTACCAGGATGAAATACATATTTAAATATTAAGCCAACATTTATTGGGCTGTTTTCTTAATATTGAGTTATGAGTTTAGCTTCTATGTACAGGTATTTACCGTAATATGTGAATAATGAGCCATGCATATGCTGCCAAGAATGAAAGCTTAGGACCAGGGGTTTAGCTCAGCGGCGTAAGTGCCTGTCTGCCAAGTGTAAGGTCATGAGTTTGATTCCTAGTATCAAAACAAAACAAAACAAAAAAGCAGAAGAAGAAAAATGAAAGCTTACCACATTGAAACAATTTTAAAACAGGAAAAGAATTTTTACTTTAGGGTTCTCAGCAATTGTACCTGCCTACTGAAACTCACCAGATAAATTTGGACCAAGAGTAGAGCCTGAGGCCAATGTACAGGCCAAAGGCACTGATCATAGCAAAAAAAAAAAAAAAAAAATGCAAATCACAAAAGCCGTCAAATATCAGGATACTCCTTGCAAAGAAAGTCACCACTACCCAAGCAAGAAAGGACACATAGAACAACAGAAGCACATTATAACTAAACAAATACATTTTGACGTGAATAAACGTTAAACAAACAAATAGAGAAACAAATGTTTCTCTATGCTGTGCATTCAATCCTCTTTTCAGCAATTTATTATTCTCAAGACTCAAGACTCAAGGCAATTCTTTTTAAGATAGCAAGAGGCCTTAGGGTAACCATTGTTGATTACCTTGTATTCTGTTTTTACATCATGTACTATATCCTTCCTTTGTTTTGACTGACTGATTTGTTTGGTCATATTTGGTTTTATTCCCTTCCAAAAAAAAAGTAATAAGAACTATGGGAGTAATAAAACACAAAATGTGTAAATGTTATAGTAAAAAAGAGAGGAAAAAAAGTGCTCTAAAGGATACAACTGCAAGTATGTTTAGGTGTGTAAGATAGATGACCATATTACTAAGTTTTTGTTGGATCATTGAACACAACTGTTTGCAGTCTCACTGCCTGAATGTCTACTTTGTATGCTTTAATCCTGTAACTTGAGCAACTATTTCTAAGAGGACAATATATAATCTGTTAACTAGTGATTTCTTACTGTTTTTTTTTAATTCTGTATTACTTGTACCCTTATATTATTTTGGGGTTTTTTTTCCTTTAAATAAAATTTTAAAAAAGGAAATGTGTGAGGAGGTTTATAAAATAGATTACTACTCTGATAAAAGAAGGATACGCTGGAGACATTCTTAGGTGAATAGGTGCACCTAGAGACCATATTCTTAAGTGAATTAAATTGGACACACACATGTAAACACCACATTGCTTCTCTTGTGTGAGAAACCAAAAGTGTAAACATGATCACAGGTATTGTGAAATAGGAAGAAAATGTTCAATTAGGGAGGAGAACATGAGATGGAGCAGGCAAAAAGGAAAGAAGGGAAAAAAGTAACAAGAAAAGTGAAAAAGGAAAAAATGGGAATAAAGGATTTGTAAATGAAGAAGGGAAGAGGGGTTGAAGGGAAGGAAGGGGAAAGGAAAAAAAAGCAGCAAGCTGTATCATGTACAGGTACAAACTATGGTGAATGTAATTGTTACGTATATATAAAATATGCCAATAATGTCTCATTGTAAAAGAAGTTCAGGGGAATTATATGATCGTAAGATCATAAAGAATGCCCAGAATTCCAAAGCAAAAGGGTAAGGAGAGAAGAGTTTATATTAGGTGGCATGGTAATGCTCTGTATATATTGTTTGCAAGTTTCATCCAATTGTGTATTTGGAAGAGATAATATACCAAACATTGTAAAGTAAATTAACAAAGAACTCATGATCTTCTACCAAGATCTCAAATTTTACCATTCACTTGATTATAAAAGTATTTATTGCAGCCCTACTAGTGCCAAACACTTTTCATGATGCTGGTAATTTTATGAACAAAATTACCTCACAGTTAATTGAAGAAGACAAACCTTTAAACCAACAGAGACATATGATAACCAATTATCATTTGGGATTATTTGCATACAGAGGCATTAAGAATGTTTCTGAAGGATCAGTAGAATGTGCCTACATAGCAAAATGCTTCGTGCAGTTTCTTAGAAATTATCGTTGGAAGTAGCAATACATAATGGAATTTTAAGTTATATTTTCTCTTTTAAAAATGAGCAAATTCTCCAAACTTTAACTGTTGACCACACAATCAATATCCTCACCACTGCTCAGTCACAAAGCAGTGACAGAATGTACTATGCTGACCCCAGGAGGATGGAGCCAGTTCCCTTTCCACAAGAAAGGAGAGAATAACCTGAAGACAGATGGAGGTGATGAAGCTAGGTTGGAGACGACGTTTACCTGAGTCCCCTTTCACTCTGTTCCTTAACATGAAAGATACTTTACTCACCCGTACCCAGGGAGATGGTGATGCAAGGAAAATGGCCTGTCTGTCTTCTCAGAGAGAGCATGGGATAAATCTTTCTTTAAGTTTTACTAAAATAAACGATCCCATTTTATATGCTCACTGGCAAACAAATGAATCTAAAAGTATGAAACTAGAAATCTCTGATATCATGAGACTATGATCTAGTTTACCATCTTAGCTAGCAGGACATCTACAGATCTGCCCAGTCCACCTTTTAGGCTGGTGCCTCCAAACTATCCAAGTCATCCAAAACAAAGAAAAGCTATCAGACCAAGAAGACCTTGCAGAAACACAGCAAGTCAGGCTAATATAACAGAGATAGGGCTCTACACTAGGAAAAGAACACAGATAAAAACTAGGAAATCTGAATAAAGTGTGAATTTTAGTTGACTATAGAATTGAGTAGAGTTGTGACTGGCAGAGTAGATGCTTACTTCTTTTTGTCTTTATTTCTTTGGCTTTCTTTCTTTCTTTCTTTTTCTTTCTTTCTTCTTTTCTTCCTTCCTTCCTTCCTTCCTTCCTTCCTTCCTTCCTTATTTCTTTTTTTCATATGGTGCCAGTGCTGCAGTTTGAGTTCATAGCCTTCTATATATTAGGCAAGTGCTTGACCACTAAATAATGGAACATTTTTAGTGATTAGGAAAAACGAAATTGTGTCAACTGCAGGAAAATGGGTGGAATTGAAGAATGCCATATTATGAAGAGTAAGCCGATAAGAAAAGAAATGTATCTGGGAATAACTGGGAGAGAGAGAGAGACAGACAGACAGAGACAGTGACTGAGAGAGTGAGAGGAAAATATGTAAGTGCATGGGATACTTTTAGAGAAAAATAAGGAAATGAAGGGAATGGAGGAAAGAGAGGACAAAGGGTAATGGAGGAAATGATCAAACTACCTTATGTGAACATACCATTCTTGTGTATAACATACATTAATAAAGTGTGTATATTTTGACATATTATAAAAATGCACTATTAATATAGCTGGGTAGTGGTAGAGGAAACTGTAGAATAGATGAAACCATGTGATATCATTGCATTTTTCCTGCACAGTTAAAACTATTCTAAAAAATTAAAATTAGGGTCAGCTATGGTCAAAACGTTTGTAATCTGCCCCAACATATATGTTCAAACATAACCTACAGGGTGACGATATTAAAACATGAAACCTTGGTAAAGTAATTGCATTGGCAAGGTGCAACCCTCCTAAACAGCACTGATGCTCAGGGAGCTTGTTTATGCTTTTCGCCATGAGCCCAGACTAAAAAAGACACCACTCGCAAACCAGGGAACTGGCTCTGACTGGAAATCAAGTCTTCCTTCTAGGACTTCACAACCTGTAGAAATACCAGAAATATGTTTCTGATATGTATAAACAAGGCAGCCAATGTTAATTTGCTATATCAGCCCCAGTGAACCATGAGAGAGTATAAACTTGTACCACCACTCCTCCAAAAATGTCTAATAGGATTCTGATATGAACTGATTTAAAATCAATGGGTCTACCTGAGAGAAATACATTTTTATTGGTTTTACTAGTTGGTTGGTTTCACTAGTTCCTTTTCCATTTCTTGTATTTTTAATAACTGTTTAGTTACCACGATGGCAGCAAACAGTTATTAGATGCTGGGGTTGTTTCCCTAATCTTGCTTGTTAAATGGCTTAAAACTTTGACTTTAGACATTTAAGTTTTGGATTCAATTGGAGCTACTGACATCTTTCTGATCTGGTATGAGGCAGTCATTTATTAATATGTTTTCCATATGAATAATGATTTCAACTCACCTAATTGAATAGAAAATGACACTTCTATGTGATTTGAGAGTTCCACAAATGCGTGGGTATTGGATGTGTAAATATACCAAGACTGCCTTGAAACAGACACCTTATGATCCATCCTCTAAATAATTAATAGACAATTGACTTTGTGTAGTTATAAAGCTAGTGAACCAAAAGATGCCTTTTTTTTTTTTTTTACTTAGTAATGGGAACCAAACTCAGGACCTTGGACTTGCCAGGCAGGTGCTTATGCCACTGAGCTGTATCCCCAGTCCAAGATACTCTTTCAACAAATACTGCTGCAATAGTTATTTTAAAAACAACTTTTATTTAAAACTTTCACCATACACAAATATTAGATGAAATAAATCAGAAACTTGAATATAAACAGAAAAGTAGTTTCATAGTATTTAGACAACAATTAGACATCAGTTTCTTAACTATGACATTAATAGCACTTTCAACAAATGAACAAAAGAATCAGTTGTGTTTTATCAAAATGTTTGAAACAGTTCTTCAAAAAAACACATTTAGATGATGAAAAGACAAGCCACACACCAAAACAAAACTTTTCCAAGGCATATAACTGATGAAATACTTTTTGGAATCTTTCATTCTTTCTGAAACTCTGATATAAATTTTTTGGTTTTTTATTTTTTAATTTTTATTAGAACAGTTTGTAATACATAATATTTACATGCATAGTAGTGAACTGGTACATGAACATTTCCAATCTTGATTTTCCCCATCCTTCAGTCTGCCCCCTGTTTTGCCAGTATCAGAATCATTTATATTTTATATAACCACCATGAAGTTAATTAACATGCATAGGAATTAACAAGCAAAAAATCATAGAAAACATAAATATGGCATGATAAAATACTTGTATATAGAATAACTTGTAAATCTCAGTATGAAAACAAAACCCAATTTATAAAATCACTAGACATAAAGAGAAAGTTACCAAATAGTACATATAGAATGACAAGTAAGCACATCAACTTAAATGCAATGTCATTAACCATTAGGGAAATGGAAATTTCAAATCACAACAGAATACTATTACCTGGCACAGAGGCAAAATTTGTAAAATCTAACCATCTCCATTATTGACAGGATAGAGTGGAGCGGGTGCTTTAATACAGAAGCATTAGAAATGTCACGTGGCATAATCACTTTAGAAAACTTTGCCAGTTTCTTGAATCTCCAACATATGCCCCCCATATGATTCAACTTGTGTAAGTTACTTTTCTCTTTGTAGAGAAAAAATATCCAACACCCAAAGTTAAAAGAGGGAAAGGTTGATATAGCTCTCAGTTTGTAGAAGTTTCAGTCCATAATCAGCTGAGTCTGAGGCAGAGTGGCAATGGCAGACGAGCAACAATTCATGCCAGCAGAAGACAGGAAAAGAAAAAGTCTGCCGGGATTAGAGCAGAGCAAATCCTATCAGTGGACTGATTCAAAAATCACTGACTTTCCTAATGTGAAAGTCATGCATTATTAAAGAATCTGTTTGGGGAATATAATACTCTGAACAAATTATTAATATACAACTCAATGAACTTTCAAAAAGTAAATACACAACTCTGGGTAGAATTGTATACCCTAAAAAATATAGGATGAAATCCTAACTCCACCACATTCGTGTTAACTTATTTGAGAACCTTTAAAGTCATAGTAAGCCAAGAAGGCGGCATTGGGGTGACTTCTATTTCATCATTTGTGTTAACTTATTTGAAAGTCTTTAAAGACATAGTCAAGCCTATGCTGCCAAGAAGGCAGCTTTGGGGTGAGTTCTTTCTCATCATGACTGGTAGCCTTATCAGAGAGAAGTTGGAGAGAAACAACAGAGGAGGGAATGGAGTCATAAGTGAAATCTAAGGACTGCCAAAGTTGTGGACAGCCACCAGATTAAAAGATACAGTAATACCCACACCTGAACACTTTCTCAGGGACATTGTTTCGTTCCCACTGTAGTTCTTCAAT